ATTGGCCAACAGCTGGCTGACTTTATGGAGAAAGAGGGACTCTTTATGATGAACTCTTTCTTCCAGAAGCGGCCCCACAGGAAGTGGACCTGGTCGAGCTCCGATGGTTCGGCAAAAAATGAGATTCACTTCATTATGACGACCAGACGCCAACTGTTCAGTGATGTCTCAGTGATCGCAAGGGTAAAAACCGGCAGCGATCACCGAATGGTTAGAGGCACACTGAACCTTAACGTTAAGTTGGAGAGGTCTCGTCTAATGAAGTCAACGCTCCGTCCCCCTCGTGCTCTGATCCAGAATCACGAGACCTTTCAGCTCGAGTTACGTAACCGCTTTCAGTGCCTAGAAGATTGCAATGCAGTGGACGATATGAATGACAAGCTCGTGGAAACTGTCCATGCGGTTGGAGCTAAGTTCTGCAAGACCCGCCGCAGAAGAACACAAAAACTCTCCTATCACACTCTTAATCTCATGGCTGTTAGACGGGAGATGAGGCTGCAATCGTCAACAGATTTGACAGCATACAGGCAACTGAAGAGACAGATCTCCAAATGCATGCGGCGAGACTTACGCATCTTTAATACTGCTAGTATTAAAGAAGCAATCGAGCGGAACCAGGGCTCCAAAGTCTTTGCCAGAGATCTGTCTGCGATAAAGAACCAACTGTCAAAGCTGAAAACTGAGTGTGGCAGCATCGTTTCCGAGACACCTGAGATTATGAGTGAGATTGAGAGGTTCTGTGGGCAGATGTACACATCACCGTTGGAGCCACACGCAAGTGTGAGTAACGATCCAAGAGCAAGTCTTACCCGACACTATTCCGATGATATCCCGGACGTCAGTCTGAGCGAAATTAGAATAGCTCTCCAGCACCTTAAAAACGGCAGGGCCCCAGGCGAGAATGGAATTACAGCGGAGCTTCTGAAAGCGGTTGGAACACCGGTACTTGAAGTGCTTTAGAAGCTCTTCAATTCCGTCCTTCATGGTGGCACTACTCCTGAGGCGTGGAGCGGAAGTGCGGTGGTCTTGTTCTTTAAAAAAGGCGACAAAGCTCTTTTGAAGAACTACAGACCGATTTCCCTTCTGAGCCGCGTCTATGTGCTGTTTTCGAGAGTCATTACGAATCGTCTCGCATGCAGACTCGACGACTTCCAGCCTTCCGAACAAGCCGGTTTCCAAAAAGGCTTCAGTACCATAGACCACATACATACCCTGCGGCAAATTGTACAGAAGACCGAAGAGGTACAATCTGCCACTTTGCCTGACGTATGTGAACTATGAGAAAGCCTTTGATTTCGTCGAAATTTGGGCGGTGCTACAGTCTCTTCAGCGGTGCCAAGTTGATTGTCGGTATACCGAAGTGCTGAAGTATTTGTAAAGTAGGACTACGATGGCTATCCGAGTACAGAACCAGAGTTCCCATCCTATCCAACTGCAGAGAGGTGTAAGACAGGGTGACGTTATATCCCCGAAAGTCTTCACCGCTGCGTTGGAAAACGTTTCCAAGCTACTGGACTGGAAAGGATACGGTATTAACATCAATGGCGAGTACATCACTCACCTTCGATTTGCCGATGATACAGTCCTTATGGCAGAAGACCTTAGCACTATGCTCAATGACCTCAATGGTGTCTCCCAACGGATAGATCTTAAGATGAACATGGACAAAACAAAGATCATGTTTAATGTCCATGTCACACCTATGCCGGTAGTTGTTGATAGCACTATGCTCGAAGTTGTTGACGAGTACGTTTACCTGGGACAAATAGTCCGACTAGGTAAGTCCAACTTCGACCGAGAGGTCAATCGACGGATTCAACTCGGCTGGGCAGCGTTCGAGAAATTACGACACATTTTCTCGTCAGGTATACCTCAATCTCTGAAAACTAAAGTGTACAACCAGTGCGTGTTGTCAGTGATGACTTACGGATCAAAGACGTGGTCCTTCGCTGCTGGCCGTATGAGGACGCTCAAGATCGCTCAGCGAGCTATGGAGAGGGCTATGCTCGGAATTTCTCTGCGTGATAGACTCAGAAATGAGGATATTCGCAGTAAAACCAGAGTGACCGACATAGCCCAACGAATTAGTAAGCTGAAGTGGCAATGGGCCGGCCATATAGCTCGAAGAACCGACAACCGATGGGGAAGAAAGGTTCTCGAGTGGCAGCCTCGTACCGATAGGCGTAGTTTAGGGCGACCCCCCACTATATGGAGTGACGACCTGGTAAGACATGCAGGAAGTCGATGGATGCAGGTGGCTCAGGACCGTGCTTTGTGGCATTGCTTGGGGGAGGCCTATGTTCAGCAGTGGACTTGTGAAGGACTGTAATGATGATGATGATGATGACCGATGTAATGGGAGGAATGGTGGTTTTACTGGCAGGTGACTTTCGACAAACTTTACCTGTCATTCAAAAGGGCACACCTGTAGATGAAATTAAAGCGTGCCTCAAGTCGTCTATTTTATGGAACATACATACACACATATACATAAACACTCACGCCTGTCACCCAGAGGGGTTGGCAGAGACTACAGACTACCATTTGGCACGATCCTGACACACCTCTCTCGCCTCCTTCACATCCATACACCTAAACGACATACCCATGCTCGTCGGTTAAGGGTACTCCTAATTTGGCCCGTTTTCAATAAATCGCCAATTTGGTCGATAAATTTTCGCCTAGTACGTCCCTTTCCGACTCTGCCATTCACTTCTGCAACATAAATTTTCTTTGTCACTCTTTCCTCATTCATTCTTTCCACATGACCAAACCACCGAAGCATTCCTTTGTTAATCCTGGTCACGACATCATCTTGCAAACCACGCTCTTCTCTTATTACACAATTTCGCAATTTATGGAACAAGGTGACAAAATTCAGTTTAAATACGAATATGAGAGTGCATTTGTATAATGATATCAATGCTGGAAACTATGCTGACATACTATTAAAAATTGGCGATGGGCGGCTGGAAACGGATGCAGAGAGCTGCGTTAAATTGACGAGAGATTTTTGTAATTTTGTACAGAGTCATTCTGAATTAATTGCGAGCGTGTATTTAGATTTAGCGAACAACATGTATGAAGACAAATGGTTATGTGAAAGGGCGATTCTTGCACCAAAAAATGAGAGCGTTAACAAAATAAATTCAGAATTATTAACCGAAGTAGCAGGAGAAATAACGGAGTATTTGTCAGTAGACTCAGTTATGGACACAGAACAGAGCACTTCATATCCCGCAGTTTCTAAATTCTCTAGAGTTGTCACATGTGCCCTCACGTGAGGGCTTCAATTAAAATTAGGCGTCCCAGTCATGCTAATGCGAAATTTAGATGCTCCTCTGTTATGTAACGGGACAAGGCTGCGTGTGACACATCTTGGACGGAACATAATCGGTGCTACAATTTTGACAGGCATAGGAAAAGGTGAAAATGTTATTATACCACGATTCCCTATAACTCCCACAGATCTTCCTTTTCAATTCAAAAGGTTACAGTTTCCTATTAAGCTCAGTTTTGCAATGACAATTAATAAAGCGCAAGTGCAAACGTTACAGGTAGCGGGGGCAACTTAGAAAAACCGTGCTTCTCTCATGGTCAGCTGTATGTAGCATGTTTGCGTGTGTCAAATGCCCAGAATCTCCACATTCTTTCGCCGAATGGAAAAACATATAACATTGTGTACAGTAGCGTCTTAAAATAGTGTTTAGTTTTTGTTTTCAAATTTCCCACAATCAATTAATCAGAATTCCCACAAATCTTCCCTTTCAATTCAAAATTTCCTATTTAGCTCAGTTTCTTTTCAATTCCAAATGCTGCACCTCTGACGGACCTATTAAGCTCAGTTTCCTTTCAACTCAGAAGGCTGCGTCTCTGACGGATCTTTTATTTGGCTCAGTTTCCTTTCAATTCAGAAAACTGCATTCTGACGAATCAATTTAGCTCAGTTTCTTTTCAGAAGTCTGCATCCCTGACAGATAATTATGCTCAGTTTCCTTTAATTAAAAAAATATCCCATTTCCATTTGTAATAAACAGGCTATTTTCATGCTTTCCTATACACTGCGTTTCAAAACTTTTAAATAGGCTGACGAATCAATTTTGCTCAGTTTCCTTTTAATGGCCGCATCTCTGACAAATCTATAAAACTCAGTTTTCTTTCAATTCAAAAAGCAATGGATAGTTCATTTCCCAGTGACCATGCGGGCGAAGCCGCGTGTAACAGCTAGTACTTTATATTTAGTTTAAGTAAATGTGAATTTAAATGTTATGTTCAATAAAATTTTAAGTAAAATGATGTTTAAAAGCAAACTGTGCAGTGCCAAGACAACAAAGTGACGTTTACTGGTACGAAGAAATTGTATTGTAATCAAAACTACTGGTACTTGACCGTTTCAGAATCTATAAGTCACACAGACTTATGTCCAAGAACTTTTAAATATTTCATACATAATACAAGTAAGTCATTAGAGCATAATATTGATACCTTTATATTAAGTGATCGTCTTATTTATTATTTTATTTATATTTTTTATAAGTTTCCAGTTAAAATACAAAGAAAGAAAATAAAAAATCACTAGAAAATCGCTAGAAAATAATGTTGTGCTGATACAAATACACAAAAGGCGTTTAAAGTGTAACATATATTTTTAGAGGGAAAGGGCACGAAAAAAATACGCCTACGGTATTTATGACGTAGAAATCAGATAAAAGCCATAAAAAAAACAGTTTGAATATCGAGCTAAGGCAATGTCATAAAATGTTCCATATAGAACTTTAATGATTAAATAAAGATTCCTTAAATAAAAAAGTATAATTTTGTAGATTTTTGAAATTATAATATGCAATACTTTTAAAATGTTAAAAATAACAATATTACTGCATACGAGTAAAATATATAAAATTTTCCGATCAAAAAGCCTGAATAGTAAAAGTAATGTAAAACAAAAAGAGTGTATTTTCTTTAAGAAAATGGAAGCGGGCAGTCACGTACTAATACTATTATTCAATGTATTTGACGTTATTACCAGGGAAAGAGGTTTTTTCTATTCTTAAAGCGATATCGCACTTCCGCGTCGTCAATATTGAATTTTTAATGAAAAACTGAATGTGAACAATGATTTATTTCTTCCTTAAGTAATATTATAAATTTAAATATAAAAATGTTTTAAAAGTTATGCAATTATTAAATACTTATCATATATCCATCCATCCAAAACATGCTGATTGCCTCAGTTACGACATTTGACAACCGCTTGGGTTGGCAACCGCAATTTTAGAATATTTTGAGTTATTATCAGGAACAGGTTGCAGCCCATCTTCTGTTTTAGTTTCCTTCTGTTGGCTCTTACGACATTCACGGGACGATATGGCATAGTGAATATTCTTACACAGCTTCTACGCGGTCATCAGTTATGATGAGCATTAAAAAATGGTGGATACTCGATAATTTTTTTTACGGTATAATCAAATATTTTGAGCAAACTGAGAAATAAACAATATTTCAACGGCTCAAATCTTCTTAAGATGCGGTGGGGTGAGAATGTTTTCCGCTTTGATACCCTTCCAAAAGGAAACCTGTGCTCAGGCTATCAGTACGCCTTCATAGTGTACTTTTACATTTATCAATTGAATTATACCTAATTCTTTTTAACCTGTTACAGTCTTTTCCTTGTCAAGATCGCGTTAGAAAGTTATATTTATTTTGAAATAACTTTATAAAATAAATATTTTTAAGCAGAATTCTATCAACTAAACAACTAAACGTTAACCTTTAACAAAAAGTAAAGAAACTAAAAAGTATAAAATAATTACACATTATGAATTTATGCTTTAATTTTTCTATAATAATAATGATTTTATATTTTTTGGTATTTTGAAGTCGGCTTTTATTTTTTGTTCAAAGTAATTTTTTACCTTTTTGAGCAGATTTAAGGCTATTACAATTTCAATATTGGATAAATAGTTACATTGTAAACATCATCCCTATTTTACCATATTTAGGGGTAATTTTTTTATATCATCACCCGAACTGAAACCTTAGTAGTTTCATCAAAATCGGTTCACATTGGGAAAGATATCGCGTAACATACATACAAAAAAAGAGGAAAATAAACATAGTCGAATTGTAACCATTTTACACTTTTGACTCGGCTTATATACAGAAAATACTTTTTCTTCTTTTCTTCTGTACTACACAAAATCAGAGAGTTAGTGTGAAGAAAGATAAAGAGAAAATTTAGATTTTAAAATATAAATATAAAATTTGAAGTACAAAAACAATACATTCAAGGGGTAAATACATAAATACATAAGGTAGAAATTTCGCCATTACATGGGGATAATAAAATAGAATTATAATCTCCATGTAATGGCGATATATGAGGACCCATCACATTATTCGTCTTGTAAGTATTGTGAGATTCGACTATAAAAAATACTACTTTAACGTTCAACGTGTTACAGCCATGCTTGACTGGTGAAGGACCATGTTTTCACAGAATAACAGCGTAAAATAGCAACTCTGTGCTCTGCTGTGTTTCGTATGGTAAGTGAAGAAAACTAGAGACATTTTTTTACTAGATATGAGGCGTTCCATCCATTGCATCGCATCGCAACGCATCTGTATTTTGATTTCGAATGGAGGATAAATAAAGATTTCTATGTCCCACAGTATCGACGTACCATCAAGTGGACTGTCTGTACATTTATCACTCATTATATAAAAATACTAAGCAGACCTCATGGCCTTTGAGAAATGGCATTATAACTATATGGTATATTTTACTCTATGGCAGCCGCATAAAAGAATCTAGAACTAATAAGCGACTAAGAAGAAGTAATAAGGCTTTCGTTAGATGGCAGTATAAACATCTTGTTTATATTGGTCAGATGGTGATGAAACTCTGCTTAATGTGAACGTTTATTTTGCGTATGTGTTGTAAATAGAAAAATATCTTCTTAGGCAGAAACAAACTTGATCAGTTACCTTTATTATCCTAACGTGGGACTCGCAGCTTTCTACTTGTTTAGATCACTCCGTTGTTATTTTACTAGTTGCTGACCTAGAGGTTATGGGATATAATTCCGGGTCGGGCCAAAAAAACAAACTAAAATACGATGTCAAGTTTTTCTGTCTAGAACTTTTCTGTTGTGTCTCGGGAAGTACGTGAAGACGTTAGTTCTGCGCCTGACCTCCTTCTTGTCATTGTCAGTTTGCTGTCCCATAATTATGAGGGTGAGAAAATAGAGAGTGCATCCGTGCTTGCGCATACACTATAATCCTGTCCTGCGCAGATGGCTAGTCTCTGTTGAGACTGGCCGCCGTAACTAAAATTCGTCTAGAACAACCGAAACTGCTAAACGTAGGTAGAGTTTATAGACAAAATTCTAAGGCCAACGCTACTTACCTTTACGCCTAATGAATCGCAGATACTTATCAGTATTAAAGTTATATTATTTCTTACATGTCACTAAGCATAAATGTATTATAAAATATGAACTTGTGGCCGTGGAAGGAAAAGGGGAGATCTCCCGCCGGGCAAGGTATTCTGCCCGGGGAGCGGCCAACACTCCGTGTGATAGTTCGGAGATGTTCTATATATACTGTTTATGATTCGGAATGTTGATAGCGTGATTTAGGCTTCGGTGTATTTCGCTTGCGGCGCGACGACAGCGCCGCCACACCACCCACTGCTCAGACCGGAGGTCGATAATGCAGCCTCGTTACCGACAAATGTGCAAGTGCCAGGAGATTGCCTTGTAATCTGCGGTGAGTCGAGAAGAAGGCAAGTAATCTGCGAGAGTGCCGTGAAGCAGAGGCGAGCAGTAAAGCGGGCTACATACGACACGATATCGGTGGCGATCTAGGGTGGAGTAGTGGGGATGCCTCCTAGATTGCCTCTAAATCATGTCGTATGTAGGGCCATCCTAAGTCGTGGCAGATATCGCCTCCTTAATCGGCTGGCAGGAGCAAAAATGCTTCCTAGATCAGCCGATGCTTCCTAGATCGGGGCACCGCTCCCTCCTTACTGCGTGTGTGTAGGCGCATCGGCCCGATTTCTTTTGGCAGTCGCTGCCGGCAACACTCGCGGAAGGAAGTTAACAAAACAGTGATACTGAATGACATTTTTTATATAACAAAATTTTTACATTTTAATCATATAAACGGAGTAGAAGCCTATGTCACTGATATTTTACTAAAAACCAAAAAAAAGTGAATAAAATAAATAAATTAATTGAAATTTTATCTAAATTCAAATCATATCCACCCTAACCTGTGACCCTGCGAAGTGACATGGTCAAAAATGCCTACTAAACTAATTTTTTTATTGCCGTTCGTAAAGTAGAGTGTATGATGTAAGTAAGGAGAAGATAAAGCCTCTCCTCAACAACTAACTCCTATTCCAACGCTATCAACACAAGACCGCACTCATATCTCTTACAACTCCACAAGACCACACTTCGATCTCTTACGTGCCTTCATCCTCTTATCAACAACTAACTTCTACTCCTTCACCATCTCCACATCAACAAACAAGTATAAAAGGGAGTATGTCCGAAATTAAAGGTTTCTTTACGTTTAAAAAAAAGATATAAGCTATTTTATTTTCTGATAGTTTTACTCCAATAAAGATTACATTAAAAAAAAAGTATACATATTATTATACAAAAGTATTTTATTTCCTTGTTTGTTGTGTTTAATACATAACCAGATTTTGACCAAAGCAGAAATGAACAAAGAGAAGAAATAACTAAATAGCATAGGTAGGAGAAATTGACATTTTTATATAAGTGGCGAGATCATTTCTAGAACGTTATAAAAACTTCATCCATCCGGAGAAAATTAATCACGTCCTTGGATTACAGGCCATTTAGTACGTTTATGTGGCTTAATTTTTATCTCTTTTGGAGCCATTTTTTCACCCAGCAACTTCTCTTTTTCTATTTTCGAATAAATTAACCGAGATGGCTAATGCCAAACCAACACGGTGGTGTTTTAAGAGAGTCGGAGGTATTTTGAAGAACTCTACCGCATATGCATTCCGCTCCAAGTACGAACGAGTACTGCTAGGCAGTCCCTTGTGTAAGGTCTACCCCGATAAAAGCCCCGATTTCTTTCCACCCTAGATCGCCACCGATATCGTGTCGTATGTAGCCCGCTTAAGGCTCAGAGCCGTGCCAAACACTGTAGCGCACAGAGTAGCTTGAAGGAACAGGAAGCATTATTATTCCAGTGCTGCGATGAACCTTGTGAAGCTAGCTGGCTTGCAGAATATGAAGACTACAGACAATATCTGCTCGGGAGCGAATGGGTGGGGTATTCTATTTATTTATTTTATTCTTTATTGCACCAAAGATTTTGTACAAAAGGCGAGCTTAATGCTATATGGCATTCTCTACCAGCTAACCTTTGGTAGAACAGAGATTAGATTCTATGACGATGATGAAGCTTGAAGTTTCCGAAGGTTGTTGGTTGCGTGTTCAGATCATGTCGGGGTCACCACTGTGACCGTGGAAGTAAAAGGGGAGATCTCCCGCCGGGCAAGGTGTTCTGCCCGGGGAGCGGCCAACACTTCGTGTGACAGTTCGGAGATGTTCTATATATACTGTTTATGATTCGGAATGTTGATAGCGTGATTTAGGCTTCGGTTTATTTCGCTTGCGGCGCGACGACAGCGCCGCCACAAACTAAATCTTTTTACTTTAATTTGAGCGGGTGAAATGATCATTTTTGTAGTTTCAGAAGAAAAAAGCGACGACGAAGAAAAAGAAGAAGAAGAAAAATATAAAATCATATAAGTGCGAGTTGGGCCTCACACTTTTATGGTTTCAATACATGTTCTGAGAAATAATTTTTTAAGCTAGATCTTTAGTTAGGTACCTTATGTTTTTTTAACCCGTGCAAGAAAAATAAAAATCCTTAAAAGTGGTCCTTAGTTTTGACGATTGCTTACACACTACATTAAAAATTGATTTTCTCAGTATTAATTGTTTAATTACAGCACGTTTCGCGTAATCTAACTCAAATTCTTTTCTCATTATTTATTGTTTAATTACAGTATGTGGCACATAATATAACTCAAATTCCCAATTAATTTACTTTTTGAGATAGACTCCGAAACAAAAGTCTAAAACTTTTGACGGCACCCCCTTTGTTTATCATCATAATCTTTACAACCCTTCACAAATCCACTGCTGATCATAGGCCTCTCCCAAAGAATGCCACAAAGCATGGTCCTGAGCCATCTGCATTCATCGACTTCCTGCATGTCTTACCAGGGCGTCACTTTAACTTCTGGGGGGCCGTCCTTACACTCCCGCCAGCTGCTACTCGAGAACTTTTTCCCCATCGACTGCGTCTATTCTTCGAACCATACGGCACTTGGCTGACTGCGTGTGTGTTGGTAGGCTGCGGCAAGAGGTGTGTTCTCTTCCTCTACCGCTGTACTCGAGGTGGAGTCATCGGGGAAGAGGAGAGTTGTTATGACGTGTCGGTAGGAAAGGTTAAGGATTCCAAGTGCTCGTTTTTCCTGGCCCTTTGGCCTCCGCGAATCGGATCTGGGGGGAGAAGAGAGAGGGTGGGGCTACGTTACGCAGGTGCAAGTGAAGGCCGCTTAGGAAGCCTTGTGATGCTGGTGTGCCTTACCTGAGGCGGCTGTGTTGGTATGTCCGCGAATGTGTGCGAAATGGAGTTTTAGACCGTGTCTACTGACATAACCCGCTTTTGCCCCCGCGAGCATGCGTTGCCACTTCCCCGTGAAAAAAGCGGTAATGTATAATAAACAAATTTATTATTAACAACGTATAAATGATTTTTTTCGCCTCATTTTTTATTTCTGGGTTTTAATTTTTTTAAAGTTTTAATAATTCAATTATATTTCTATTTCATTATTTAGTTTTGCGTCGAAATACTACAACAATATCCAAAATTTATTTTTGTATCTTATTTCGCTTATGAGCTGGAGATCCGTGCGGTCCGAGCCATACGAACAGAAAGACCATCACACAGACAGCAGATATAATTTGCAGATTTATTTAGGTACGTGGGCGTTATAAAAGTTGAAAATTAAATGGTGAATTACCTGATCTTTTACAGGTAATGATGGTATTGTTTCAAACTTACTTATGTAATTATCATCGTGTATTAAGCAAATAACTTTGCGCCTTAATCATCCCCGATCGAAACCCAATCAGACATGTACTTTACTCACTATATTTTAGCAATATGTATGTCCAAAACTGCATAATGTGGACATTATAAAATATTTGACAAGTTAAGATGTAACGGTCGATGACTATTATATATTTGGGGAAATGTACACAATAAGCGACTCAAACGGGGCCGCACCGTTGATGCGGTGGTGGTGGGGCTGCGGGGGGAGAGGATTGTCGGTATTGCGAGGCGCCGCTCTCCCTACCCTCCGCAGCCGAATCTTGGTTGGTGGCGGAGCCATAGACCAGATCCGCCGCTGGGGTCGGGAAGGCTAGTACTTCTAAGTGCTCGTTTTTCCTGGCCCCATGGCCTTTGTGCATCGGACGCGGGGGCGTCTGTTGCACAGACGTAGTTGGAGGCCGTGGAGGAAGGCGCGCCATGTGTTCTGGTGCGCCTTACCTGGGAAGGAGAACGGGGAGGAATTTTCCTCTCCCGAGGAGGTGCTGCCATGGGGCGGCAGGCGCTAGTAGGGCCGCGGATGTGTGCGAAAGCGTTCCCGTAGCCCTGCCAATATGCGACAAAGGTGGAACACCATGGGGTTTTAGTCGGTGCGAGTCCGACATAACCCGTCCTTGCCCCCGCGAGGCGGGTATGCGTAGGCATTTCCCCATGCAAAAAAAAAAAAAAAGGTGTGAAGATCGGAGATTGAGAGAATGAGTGTCACTAAGGAATTGGAAACTTTCTTTTAGGTAAAAGGGTGAGGAAGAATCATTAAGAACTGAAAACAGAGAGGACAGCATTCGAAAATCTCTGCGCTGGCGTATAGTCAACCACTTTAATTAGGAGCGAAATTCTGATACGTGATCGTATTTGCGCAGGCCAAAGATGAATCGTATGCAGTTGTTAAGTAACCTGTCCAACCTGCTTAGCAACTCCTGAGAGATATTAGAAAGACAAACATCGGCATAGTCAAATAATGGAAGAATTAGAGATTGGATGAGTAGAAGCTTAGTTGAAGGAGGCAGAAAGAACTTAAGACGATAGATGGAACGAAGTATGCCTGTGACTTTGCGCCAAATCTCGGACACCTGTAACCTCCAACTAAGGGTCGGGTCAATAATAAAACCCAGATCCTTGACACTAGTGCCGAAAGGAATTACACAGTTTTCGTAGCGAATGGATGGTAGATCAGGTATGTTAAGTTGTGACACCAATCGACGACTACCAATGATAATAGACTGGCATTTACTGGAATTTACCGTTATACCAAATCGCTGTGACCAGTCTGAAATACGTTGTAAGTCCTGATTAATAGCTGCAATAGCGGTAGCAATTTCAACCGAGGACGCTTGTGAGTAACAATTACGATAAATCACAACTTCTTACTGATTTCACGCTTCTAAGTAGTTGTTGTCCTGGATTTAGCACGCTTCTAAGTAGTTGTTGTCCTGGATTTAGATCCTTCGTTTTTGGGAATGACATCTGATCCTGAAAGCGAGGTAGCCGTTCTACGTCAGCTTTGTGTTTGGTTGTCAGCTTCTCTAGATCATTTGTTGTACACGGAACATCATAAAGCTTGACATTGATCACCCCGTCCAAGGTCCACACATTCCTAATGCCTAAGTGCCTGTGGGCCTCTAAGAATAAAGACTGCCTCATTCATGTTAGATATTCTGACAACACATATGGGATATCCTTGAGCAAAGCTTTCTTGGCCCATACCTCCTGACGTAATGGAGTGTCTTCAAATTTTATGAGATATTGTGCCAAGACAATGACATACCTGCAGCGACTGACTGGAACGATTTTTGATCCAAGATTCTTCGTGATAACTGAAGCTACCAATTCGCGGACATTCTCATTAGTATTCTCAACCACCCCTCCTAACAGCAGAAACTTCTTTCTGTGTCTACTTTCAATGGCATCCACATTAACAACTAGATTGTTAATTTTCTGCCGCAGTAATGTAAATGTTGAATAAACAAAATCCTTGAAGTTGATGTAGTCAGAACTTAGGTCCTTCAGGCTTAAGTCCTTTGATGACCCCTCTAGTCTCGCTTCAAATTCATCTAACCTCTGATTAAGTGTCTTCTCCAGTGTTACTTGTGTTTTAAGAACTTCAAATATGTTTTCCATACTGAGATGTTCTTTAAGTATTGTACTCAACTTGAAGTTTGTAAGAAAAGTGGTAGCAGCTTATAGCAGGTATTTAATTTATTGCATATATGATATTTTAGTTGATACTTACAAATATTGAATACTGTACACAATGAATAACTAAAATAAATAAATAAAATTACAGAGATGCACAAAATTTAGTTGTTACTTTTTTCACACCTACCCGGAAAAAAAAGCAGTATATCTCAAATGGCTAGCAATATCAAATGCGTCTAGCACTACTAACGAACAAGATGTGCGTTATTGGTTCAATCGTTTTCGTTCAGGAAATTTCGAGCTTATAAATGAACCTTATGGTCGCCCGGGGAAGAAGGTAGATAATGACGAATTAGACGCAATAATGGAAGCGGATCCGTCTCAAATTACGGCTGAGCAAGTGTAGGTACTGATCTAAGTGTCAAGATAATATAGGATCATTTCGCAAATCGGTAAACTGAAAATCGGGTACTTCAAGAACACAATGGGGAAGTAATATATGTTAGAATTACAAAATAATTTACATTGTAACTAGCTTTTTCTCGCGACTTAATCTAAGAGGACGTCGGATTAAAAGATAATGATTTATAATAATCACAGGCTACGCGTTGTTTCAAGACCTAAGTCAGCATAAATAGGTAATTATAAAGCTAGGATACAGGAAAATTTCTCAGAAACCGTGTATTTTAAAATCTCCGGTCCATAAACCGTCTCTATGTAAAATATCATGACAACCCGTTGCCCCGTTGCTGCGTGAATAAGGGACAAACCAACAAAAACACATTTTCACATTTTTATCATTATAGTAGTAATAACAACTCATCCGTTATTACTTACGTAAATCGATATTTAAAATCCATATTTCTAGAATAATAACATTCACTTAATGTCTAAAATAGTTACTTAGCGGCCAGTCTTCATTTCGTATATTATTTTTATTCAGATTTTCTCCCTTTCCTGTGTACAGTCGTTAATAGAAAGATGATGGCTTTTTGAAATATTAGTTTTGAATAATGATGATAATATGATGGCGTTTTTGAAATACTATAAAAAGACATGGCTGAAGAACAAAAATTATTTGCCTGTTTGGAATTCATTCGTAGTGCCTCACAGAACTACAAATTCATTAGAATCCTGTTACAAAACTATTTTAAATTAAGTTAAGGACAAACATCCAAATTTAGTAAAGTTTTTGAATTGCTTCCAAAAAAAAAACGCCCAGTTTTTGGTAACAAATATGTAGTAACAAAGGAATTTAGAAAAAAATTGCTAATGTAAATTAAAAGAGACGAATTTATACATGATATACAATTACGTCTACTTTATAATGAAATTAGTGTTAGTCATTTTCTGGAAATATTGCAGAATTTATAATTTACTTATTATTATTTAAAACAAGGAATTTTAATTTGGATTAAACGCAATCCGCTATTTGTTGTTTTTGTTTGTGGTTATTAATAATTAATAAATAATATATTTAAGCAGTATATTTTCTGTTGAACTGTACTTGGGTTGGAAAGGCGGAACAACAATCAAAAAGGGAATTTCGATTATCCACCCTTTTTATTCATAAATATAAACATAAGGTACACAGATGTATTACTTAGAAAATTTAATTTATGTATTTATTAATTGCACGTGTACAAAGTACACCCAATTAAATAAACAATATATTTTATTAGCTTCATCTTACTACTTCGACTTATTAGAGTTATAGAATATTGGAGATCTCAAAGCAAGCAATTTTTTTGTCTAGTGATGGAGATGATGCTGTGCAAATAAAATGCAAAAAGGAGAGTCTTGTGTTTACTTTCCTGCAAATGTGCCTTCATAATTGCTGCTGATCTTTATTTTACTCATAGGTGGATCAATGTAAACTTACATTTACGTAACGAAGACGAGTAAGTACTTTAGATTTACGTAACGTTTACTTAACGTAGAGCTAGGACGCCATTGAAATCAAAGATTTAAGTTGTATATTTTTTAAATAGTGGTAATCTATTAAATGGCAAAATTCAAGAAGTTAAGATTCAATTGAAGAGGAACCTAAGTCTTCCCAAGGAACGCCGCATAATATATGAATGTTTTAGACGTATATTTGATATATTTTTTATTTATATAAATATACTTTATACGTTTATTTATTATTAATATCTTTAGAAAATATTTGTACAAATAACTTAATTTTTAGATATGTAGTAATGTCATACTTTGTTTTCTTAAATTTTCTTAGGTGCTGTTGTAAATGCGATGAAAATGTAAATTGTTATTGCATTTCCCATTTAAGTCGAAATGCTTGAATTTTTTTAAATTTAAAAAATATTTTTTAGAAAGAACAAGAACTCGGCAATATTTTGATTATGACAGACGGGCTCATCTGCAGCAATTTATAAAAATAAACATCTAAGAAATAGAAAGACATATCCTTATTTTTGCACTAAGATAGTTGGATAAAAATACCCTTTATGTCGCCTAGCATCGTTGTACGTAGTTGTTACTTGATATCGGTTGTCAACCCGCTTGGCAAGCGTGGAAACCATGGCAATTATCTCCCTTATGAGGCAATCTGTGGGGGAGGCCTGTTCAGCAGTGGACTTTAATAGCCTGTGAAGATAACGGTTACGATAACCGGATATCACTGTGTGTAGCTATAACCAGACTTGATTTGTCCAAAATGTTTTAAAATTACAGACACGACCTTTCTGCAAATTTATTATTTGTATTTATAGATAAGAAAGTTCACCAAAATGACCTCAATTGGAAATTAACTTTTATAAGAAGAATGCCTTCATATTTTCTGATTGCCACAATTGCATGACATGTTGATACACGACTTAACCAATCCTCTATCAGGAAATATAGTTGATATAGGTATGGTGATACTCTTGAGTATTTAGTTACCTTGTAGTGTTTAAGTACTCATAAATCTAGCACGGTTATTGCGTTGAAAATGTCTATTATGTAATTTCTTTAATATTATTAATATATTTAATAGGATAAGTAGCATTTTTAAATCAGAACCAGTCCGACGACGGGAAGTAGTGTCAGAAAGAAGTATGCGATATTTATCTTATATATATGTGTTAAACAGATTCCGGTTCCGGCTATTGTATCGTAAACACGTACGTCAAACTCCTCCGCGAATATTTTCGTAAAAGTAGTGCAAAAAGTGGATAATCAAGTAATCTTGACGCAACCCCTTCAAAATAAAGTATTGACACTGAACTTAGTGAAGTGATCACACTGCGAATATTGTTCATCTTGCGAAAAATCCTCAATTATCACGAAACAACATAACCTAAAATTGTGAATAGCAGTTATAATCATAGACTTAATAGAGTGTTATCACTATTGCCAACATAACGAATCACCAACTGTCGTTGACAGTGAAGATTTAGTGTTACCAGTGAACAAAAACTCTTGAATCCAATTCAGTGTTGTCACTACAGCATTAAATTACCACAAAAATGGAAAAAAGTATGGAAATTTTATATCAAAAAAGAGATCCACAACTATGTTCATAACAACATCAGTGACAAGAAATGTTATGGAAGCATTGGACGAGAAATTGAAGGCTATTATGGAAGAAAATACTCTACTTAAAAATAAAGTAACAACACTAGAGAAAAAATTAAGTGTCATAGAAAGAGAGAAGCGAGGACACAACTTGGTTTTCTTTGGAGTAGAGGAAATGGGTAAAACCGAAGCTGTACTGGTAGACCACATTAAGGAAGCTATAATAGAATCGGGAACACACCTAGACAGTCATGAAATTACCAATGTGTACAGAATTGGACAACGTACCGACAACAAAAACCGTCCCGTTGTAGTTTCCATTGCATCTATATGGAAGAAACATTTGATATTGAAAAACAAAACTAGTTTACCACCAGGTATTATTGTCAAAGAGGATTATCCGAAAGATGTCCTAGAGAAACGAAAGCAGTTACAGCCACAAGTAGAAGAGGAAAGAAAAAAGGAAACATGGCCTATCTGAAATATGACAAACTAATAGTAAAGAAACCTAAAGATAAAGGCCGTGACAAGAGAAAAAGGGAAGACTCAAACTCACCCAACTTGTCAACGCAGAAAAAAGTTAACTCACAAGACAATATTACTTTGCAACCACCTAACAAAACAGCAACAAAAGAAATTTTTAAACCCAGCACAGTCAAATATGTTGAACGAAAAAGACCAGCTCCAACAGTTTCATCAGCCGAAGATCCAAAAAACTTGTAACTGACATCATTACACCAAACCAAAGGAAAACAAATACAATGAATTTATACAAACCAAACATACACAGAAGAACACTGCCAAGAACCGGAAAAATTAAAATTAGAACAGAAGATTTTGAACCACAACAAACAAAATGTCTCCCAACACGGCTGGTCCCCGTGGGAGATCTAGACCAAAACCCTCCAACAAAATCACGCGTAACAATCAACATCGCAACACTAAATACAAGAACACTAAGAACACAGGTAAGTCTGCTGGAACTAGAAAAGTCACTAGAGAAAATAAACTACGATATCTTAGGAATAAGTGAGATGAGAAGACTGGAAGAGAAAATAGAAGAGTATGAAAACTATATCCTATACCACAAAGGAGAAACAGCAGGACACAGAGGTGTAGGATTTCTCATAAAACTATCCCTAAAACAAAACATACTGGAGCTAATAGGAATTTCAGACAGAATAGCAATACTAAAAATGAAACTACCGGGCTACAAGAAAGTATGAACAATCATTCAGGTGTACGCGCCTACCGAACAAGCCGCCAGGGAGAACATTGAAGACTTCTATAACAACCTATCTAACATTACAAAGAAATATTACAACAACAACCTTGTAATCATGGGGGATTTCAACGCCCAAGTTGGCTACAGAGAAGCAGGAGAGGAATTTGTACTAGGGAAGTACTGCTATGGCAAGAGAAGTACCAACGGACACAGACTAATAGAATTCCTCCTAGAGAATAAT